ACTCGACCGATAACGAGTCCGAGGCGCCGCCGAGCGAGTCCGAGGACGACTCTGAATCGTCCGACGTGGACCCCGACGCGTACTACCTCGAGACGGTCACCGAGTTTTGCGACATCGGTGACAATGACGACGTGGGAAGTGAGTGGACCCAGGAGTTTTCGGCTGCAGGTTCGAGCGGGAACGCTGGGCCGAGCACGATGGACCCCGACACCTACACCGACCTGGCCTTGGCCCTCGAGCAGGCACACGACGGCATGAAGGAGATGCTCCGAGGACCCCCGCCGCGCAGAGTCTGGGAGGTGTTCGTGGACGAAGGAGGACTGTCTCAGGCGCTGCTTGAGTACCCCATGGTGGACGTCACGCAGTTCCGCCTCGAGGACGGCTGGGACTTCTCCAAGCCAAAGGTGATTAAGGCGTTCCTGAGGAAGATCGACGTCGAGAGGCCCGACGACATTTTCTTCGCACCCCCGTGCAAGGCATGGCGCTCGTGGCAGCACGTGAATGCCACGCTCTCGGCGGAGCGCGCCGCGGAGATCCACGAGGCGCGGGTGCGCGAGGAGAAGACGTTCCTGAAGTTGGTCCGTGACTCTTTCGCGAAGCAGCTGAATGGAGGCCGACACGCCTATGTGGAAGGCCCATGGTCAGGAGCGCACTGGAGCACCAAGACGTGGAAGACACTGCCGGGCCACCACTGCCGGCTGGACCAGCGCCGCCTGGGAGCCAATTTCCCCATCAAGGGAGTGGACATGCCGTGCCAGAAGCCGGCGCGGCTGCAGTCCACTAACAAGGAGTTCATCGATCACATGGGTCTGAGGTGCGGGTGCCGGGACGAGCACGTGATACTACGCGGCAAGCTCGCCCAACAGGCTCAGAACTACCCCGCACCGATGGCACGACGGATGGCTTACCTGATTGCCTACCAGGGCATGGCCGCCGACATCGACGAGATTCACTCGGCCGAGGAAGTGCACAAGGACATCGATGCCATCGAGTACACAGGCATAATGCAGGAGCTGATGAAGCGCTTCAACGTCTCGACCATCCGCGCGGTCAAGCGCGCGCGCGTCAGCCTGGGGCACCCCTCGAACGCGGCGCTGACCAACGCCATGCGACACGCAGGTGCCCCAGCAGAGTGGATCCAGTGCGCCAGGCTCTACAAGTGCGAGATCTGCCTCAAGAGACAGCGACCGCGCACCGTGCGCGTGGCCGTGCTCCCGGAGGCCAAGCGCTTTAACGAGGTGGTCAGCACCGACGTGTACTACGTCACCTGGAAGACGAAGGAGCGGAAGATCCGAGCGATGATGGACGAGTTCACTCGCTACGAGGTCGACTACCCCATCTCGAAGGAGACTTTCAAGAAGGAGAAGAAGCTCTTCGAGAAGCTCTGGATCAGCTGGGCCGGCAAGCCCGAGGCGATGCGCATGGACATGGGCGGTTCGCACACGTCCAAGAATCTGCACTCCTGGATGAGCAAGCACGACATCAAGCTCGACCTGATACCGAAGGGCGCGCACCACAAGCTGGGCTTGATGGAGCGGAACCACGCGGTTCGGAGGGAGCAACTGAGCAAGTACCACATGCAGTTCCCCGACGACTCGCTCAAGACGGCCCTTAGGATGACGGCCAGCCAGCGCAACCTACTGCGGAACGCGCATGGGTTCTCACCCGCCATGCTGGCGCTGGGGACTCAGCCCCGCGTGCCAGGCGCCCTCTCCGACGAGGACTTCGGCCTGGCCGAGCAGTCCGCGCTGGTCGACCCGAGGAGCGAGGTGCACGAGATGATGCTGCGGCGTGTCGCTGCCAGCACGGCCTTCATCGAGGCCAACTGCTCGCGCGCCGCGCGCGCAGCCCTGCTGGCCCGCAGCAGGCCGACCCGCCGCGAATACGAGATCGGCGAGTGGGTCTACATTTGGAGGCCTGAGCCTTCGCGTGGCCTGGAGAAGCGCCACTGGTTCGGCCCCGCGCTGGCGGTGGCCGCGGAGGCGAAGCCCAACGAGGACGACGTGATGCACACCTCGGTGGTCTGGGCCACACACGGGCGCGTGATCTACAGGCGCACGGTCGAGCAGCTACGACCCGAGCTGCCAGGCGAGGCCCGCGAGCGCGAGGGCCGCAGGGACGACCCCGACAGCCCGCTCAGCTTGATCGAGAAGCTGCGCCGCGCGTTGAAGCGGACGAAGGGCACCTGCATGTACAGGGACCTGGCGGAGGAGGGGCAGACGCCCCAGCACGACGACAACCTGGACGACATGGGGGACCAGCCGCAGGCGCGGGAGCCCGACGCCCAGGAGATGGACACGGAGGAGCCCGGCGAGGCATCGGGGGCAGCTGCAGCGGCAGCTCCCGAAGAGGCTCAACCTGCCGATCTTGGTGGCGTGGAAGCAGTGGATCGAGACTCACCACGTTCCCCAGCGGCTGATGCCGGCGCCGCTGCAAACGGAAGTGCCTCGAGCCATGCAGCGCCAGAACCAAGCCGGCCCCACGTCGAGACGATGGCCAAGAGGAGCGTGGAGGAGGCCGAGAAGCTGGACGGCGTTCCGCTGTCGAAGCGTGCCCGCCTGACGTGGGCCAAGCTAAACCCTCCTGACGAGCACGCCACGCTGCTCGAAGAGGTGGACGACGAGATGCTACTGTTGGAGGAGTCCACCGAGACGGTCTACATGCTGGCCTTCAAGCGGAAAGCCCCCACCATCGTGGAGGGGAAGCAGACGCCCGAGGAGAAGGACCAGTTCTACGCAGCGAAGCTGGAGGCCCTCGAGGTGTTTAACCAGGACGACGGCTGGGAGCCCATCAACGAGGAGGACGTGGACCCAGCAGCCTGCTGTCCGCTGCGGTTCCTGCTGAAGTGGAAGATGAAGGACGGGCAGAAGGTGGCCAACGCGCGCGTGCTGTACCAGGGGTTCAAGCATCGCGACGTCGCCGAGGGCCAGCTCGACAAGGAGGCGCCGACCTTCAGCAGACTGGGCCGGCACACGGTCATGCTCTGGACGCCCCTACGGAAGTGGAGGCTGTTCACGGCGGGTGTGAAGTCCGCATTCCTGCAGGCGGAGGACGTGAGCGTACGCGGACTCAAGCTGCACGCGAGCCCGACGAAGGAGATGAGGGAGATGCTCTCTCAGCAGATCGGCTTGCAACCTGGACAGCTGCTGGAGATGATCAAGCCATGTTTCGGAGACCCGAGGTCGCCGAAGCTCTGGCACTACCGCTCCGACGAAGTCACGAAGGAGATCGGGTTCAGGAACCACTGGCTCGAGGACTGCCTCTTGCTGCCCCTGCGCCCGGCGAAGGTCGAGGACGACCCGTTCGACGTGTGCAGCTTCGAGGACCAGACCTACGTGGTGGACGGCCTGATCGGCAAGCACGTGGACGACTTCATCGGATGCGGCGAGGGAGTCAACTGCGAGGATGACCTGCACGCCATGCTGGACAACTCGGAGTGCTTCCAGGCGAGACTGGGCGCGCTCAACCAGAAGTTCACGTTCGGCAAGTGGGGCTTCGGGCCGAGCCTGATCTTCACCGGCGGCGAGGTAGAGCAGTCTCTCAGCACCTACGCGGTGACCCTGAAGTTCGAGAAGTACTTGCGCGCGGTGAAGCCTATCACCATCGAGAAACACCGCCGGGCAGACCCGACGAGCGCGCTGACGCCGAAGGAGCTCACAAGTTTCAGGACCCTGAACGGCCAGCTGCAGTGGCCCGCGGCTCAGGGAGTGATGATAGCCGCAGCGACTGTTTCGTTCAGAGCAGCAGCTACGGGAAGTGCTACGGTGCAGGACCTCCTGGACGCGAACAAGGACCTGCGCTTCCTGAAGGCCAACGCGGACGTGGGGCTCTACTTCGGGTTCGACAAGGCCTGGGGCGAGCTACGCGTGGGAGGCTACTCCGACGCGAGTTGGGCAAGCCGCCTGGACGGGAGTTCGCAGGGTGGCTACGCGATCTTCGCTGGACCCGACGACGACCTGCGCAACGGCAACCCGACGCCGTTCGTGGGGCTGGAGTGGGCCTCGAAGAAACTCGTGCGGCTGTGCAGGAGCTCGCTGTCCGCGGAGGCGCAGGCAGCTGCGCTCGGCGTGGACTCGCTGATGTGGGTGAAGATCTACCTGACGCTGAGTTTGCGGCCAGACTTCAAGCCAGACCAAGCTATGCTATACCTCGGAGAGTCGCCGTTCATCACGGACGCGAAGTGCCTTTACGACGCCTCAAGGTCAGCCACGGCAGGCCTGGGCATCACGGAGAAGCGGACGGCCATCGAGGTAAAGATGGTGAACGAGCAGATGGAAGAGATCGGCGCAGTGTGGAAATTGGTGAACACCCAGCAGCAGATGGCAGACGGGTTGACGAAGCTCTCCGCACGCCAGCAGATGGCGGACGTGCTGCGCCGTGGAGTTCACGCCCTACGGTACGACCCGAACTTCGTAGCCGGGAAGAAGCTGACCAAGCGCGCGATGGAGCAGCGCGAGAAGGAGCTGGACCAGGCTGGAGACGACCTGGCGGACGAGTTCGAGGCTAAGCCAAAGGAGAAGCCCAAACAGAGGAAGCGCCATTTTGGCGCGAGTGGTGCGAGGTTGGCGGCAACCTTGGCAGCGAGCGGAGCATCGAGTGCAGCTGGAGAGTTGATGGAGTACACGCCCAGCGGCGTTGAGCTGTTCAACACACCGGCGCCCGACGACTGGAGCAACCTGATCATGAAGCTGATCATGCTCGGCATCGTGATATGCCTCATCCTGCTGTTCGGCTGTGGAGTCTGCGCAGGGGTGTGGTGGATGCGCCTGACGAGCAAGACGACGCGCGCAGACTACAAGGTGCTGGAGCCAGAGACGGAACCAGTCCCGACCAGACCGACGATGGCGGAGACCACGACGACAGGGACGAGCACGAAGCCAGTCAAGCAGAAGAAGACGCGCAACGCGTGCTGCCAGGCTCCGACGCGCTACAACCTGGACCTGGCACAGCCGAGGTTCCAGCCGCTGCCCGAGTACGCCCACGGAGCATTCTTCGGCTGATCGTCACGACGAGGGGGACCCACGCCTATGGCGACATGGCGGCGATGCCGCACTTGTTGAGGTGCTTCGAGAAGCACGCCTTGCTGAGCGCCTTCGGAGGCGCGGACTTGTTTGCCAGGCGAAATCGACCGATCGCCTGGCTGCTGAAAATAATTAAGGAGATACATGTCGCTGTCGCGACCGCCGGTGGTTTCACAGTCTTGTCAGACAAGGTTTGTGTCCTGGGACCCGCGGTGTCAGGGATATTTATATGTCCTAGTTTCGGTCCCGTTCCCGAACGCTTTGAAGTTCTGGTTTGCTTTGAGTTTGCGTTTTGTTTCCTGGTAGCCCTGTTCTAGGCGATGAATGATGGTTTGAAGCGAATATGTGCTAACTCCTTTTTCCGCCCGTGACAATATAACCCTTTTTCTCATCTCAAAACAGCAACTCTTGCGAAGCATGCCGACAGTCAAGTTTTTCAGGCGTGTTTCCGCCTGCCCCCGCATATCTCCCCTGTTCCTCCTTCCTCCCGCCTCCTTGTACATCCTCCTTGTGGTGGGAGCGGGAGAAGGACGAGGCGGAGGAGGAGGGAGAGAAAGCGCTCCTCGTGGTTTGAGGAAGGACGAGGCGGAGGAGGAGGGATAGAAAGCGCTCCTCGTGGTTTGAGTCGTTTGGGGTTTCTCGTCCTGGTGTGAGTCGTTCGGGCCCTTCTTCCTGGTGTGAGTCGTTCGGGCTCTTCGTGGTGTGAGTCGTTCGGGCTCTTCGTCCTGGTGTGAGTCGTTCGGGCTTCTCGTTGTGTGAGTTGTTCGGGCCCCTCATCCTGGTGTGAGTCGTTCGGGCCCCTCCTCCTGGTGTGACTCGTTCGGGCTCCTCGTGGTGTGAGTCGTTCGGGGCCCGCGTCGTGGTGTGAGTCGTTCGGGCTCCTCGTGGTGTGAGTCGTTCGGGCGCCCCGTCCTGGTGTGAGTCGTTCGGGCCCCTCCTTGTGGTGTGAGTCGTTCGGGCTCGTCGTGGTGTGAGTCGTTCGGGCCCCTCGTCCTGGTGTGAGTCGTTCGGGCTCCTCGTGGCGTGAGGCGTTCGGGCACCTCGTCCCCTTTTGGGGCGTCTTGGGGGCCTCTTGGCGGCCCCAGGGGCTTCTAGGAGCGTCTTGGGTGCCTTGGGGGAGCCTCTTCGGGCCTCTTGGGAGCCTCTTGGAGGCCGTTTGTGGCGTCTTGGGGGCCTCTTGGCGGCCCCAGGGGCTTCCAGGAGCGTCTTGGGTGCCTCGGGGGAGCCTCTTGGGGCCTCTTGGGGGCCTCTTGGGGGCATCTTGGGGGCCTCTTGGAGGCCTCTTGGGGGCCTCCTGGGGACCTCTTGGGGCCATCTTGGGGCCTCTTGGTGCCTCCTGGGCGCTTCTTGGGGCCATCTTGGAGGGAATCGATCCAAGAAGAGGGGAGCTTTAATGAGCGCTGCCCCCTCCGAAGGGCAATATTGAGCCAACACCTTCGTAAAATCAATGGTTTGGCCTTGAAAGGAGAGGGGAGCTTTAATGAGCACTGCCCCCTCAGAAGGCCAAAATGGGGCCAACACCGTAGTACAATCAATGAGTTTGGCTTCACAGAAGAGGAGAGGGTTTTTTCTCCCTCCCCCCGTCGGGGCCAGAATCCTCGTGAGGGGTGTCGTTTTTTAGCCCTCCCAGGAGTCGAAAATGACCCCCCCAACGACCCGCGGAGGGACCTTTCCAGGCCCAGGGGGAGGGGGGAGGGGGAGGGGTAAACCCCTCCCCGAAGGGGAAGAAGGGGGTTGAGAACAGAGCGGGCTCTCTAAACCACTCACGCCCAAAGGGCTGGTGGGATTTGTGTAGTGTTTGTTCCTATCAGTGCGTACGCAGCTTAGCACAGATGTAAAGTATTGCTTGCAGCGTTGCAATGTGATTGCCATGTACCATTGCCGTTTGATGTTCAGGGGCCCCTGAGTCAGGTAAAAGGTTGCGTTACGTTTCATACGTCCGATAATCAAGATTAGTTCGGCGAGGGCCATCAAGGAGCAGCTTGGCCCACCTTGCGAAAACATACACGCACGAAACCGACAAACGCGCGAGGAATGGACGTCCGAGCGGTGGCGAGCTGGAGCCTGAGGCCGCCTGTGCTTAGTTGCCCTGGTACGCCCGTGCTGAAGCGCAACACGTTCTCAAAACGCCCAGGTGAAGCACGCTGTGCGTGTCGGCTCAGTGCTTTGTGTTGGCGAACTTGTCGCGCCAAGCCTGCGTGTTTGATCTGCGCGTTGAGCTTCGTGCCAACACGGTATACGGATTGCGCGTTGCGCATCGAGGAGCTTGAGGCCGCCTGCGCCGTTCGTGGGGTCTCATTTCGGGGGGAGGTCTCTTCCAGGCTATCTTGGAGAGCCTGGGGGGGTCTGGGGACGATGTTTTGGAGGGTTCTCCCACGGGGGAGGTCTGAAATGGCTTGTCTTGGAGGGTCCAGACCCCCTCCCTTTTATTACGAGATCTGGAGTATACGGGCTGCGCGCTGCGCACCGAGGAGACTGAGGCCGCCTGCGCCGCTCGTGGAGTGCTGCGCGCTCCGAGAGCGGCGGCCGGCCCCACGGAGGGGTCGCCAACTGCATGCGCGCACACCGGTCCTGGCCGGGCCCACAGCGGTTGGGCGTCGCGTACCCAGACCTCCTCGAGTCATGAAAAAATCACGGCGGGAGGTTTTTCGCTATTTTCGGCCTCTGAGGGACCTTACCGGGCCTCGGGACCGTCAAAAAACGACTCGGGACGAAAAACCGGCCCCGGGGAATGGGTCGAGACCTCGGGGGGTCGACGTCATGAAAAAATTAGCCTGGCGAAGGACCCAACCATATACAGTTGTGAGAAATGCTGGTGTGAGTACCGTCTTCGGTGGATCTCCCTATGGGGCCACGAACCGTTTGAGGGGTGTGCCGAAATGGGTGTGGGGGCGGCATGCGAACGTTGCCACTGGGGCCTTCGGTGGAGCTCCTTATGGGGCCACGAAACGTGTGAGGGGTGCACCGAAGTTGGTGTGGGGGCGGCATGCGAACGCAGCCACTGGGGCCTTCGGTGGAGCTCCCTGTGGGGCCACGAAACGTGTGAGGGGTGTGCCGAAATTGGTGTGGGGGCGGCATGCGAACGCAGCCACTGGGGCCTTCGGTGGAGCTCCCTATGGTGCCACGAAACGTGTGAGGGGTGTGCCGAAATGGGTGTGGGGGCGCATGCGAACCCAGTCACTGGGGCCTTCAGTGGAAATCCCCATGGGGCCACGAAACGTGTGAGGGATGTGCCGAAATGGGTGTTGGGGAGGCATACGAACCAGGCCACTGGGGCCTTCGGTGGAGCTCCCTATGGGGCCACGAAACGTGTGAGGGGTGTGCCGAAATGGGTGGTGGGGAGGCATGCGGACCCTGCCACTGGGGCCTTCGGTGGAGCTCCCTATGGGGCCACGAAACGTGTGAGGGGTGTGCCGAAATGGGTGGTGGGGAGGCATGCGGACCCTGCCACTGGGGCCTTCGGTGGAGCTCCCTATGGGGCCACGAAACGTGTGAGGGGTGTGCCGAAATGGTGGTGGGGAGGCATGCGGACCCTGCCACTGGGGCCTTCGGTGGAGCTCCTTTGGGGCCACGAAACGTGTGAGGGGTGTGCCGAAAAATGGGTGGTGGGGAGGCCTGCCACCCTGCCACCTTCGGTGGAGCTCCCTATGGGGCCACGAAACGTGTGAGGGGTGTGCCGAAATGGGTGGTGGGGAGGCATGCGGACCCTGCCACTGGGGCCTTCGGTGGAGCTCCCTATGGGGCCACGAAACGTGTGAGGGGTGTGCCGAAATGGGTGGTGGGGAGGCATGCGGACCCTGCCACTGGGGCCTTCGGTGGAGCTCCCTATGGGGCCACGAAACGTGTGAGGGGTGTGCCGAAATGGGTGGTGGGGAGGCATGCGAACCCTGCCACTGGGGCCTTCGGTGGAGCTCCCTATGGGGCCACGAAACGTGTGAGGGGTGTGCCGAAATGGGTGGTGGGGAGGCATGCGGACCCTGCCACTGGGGCCTTCGGTGGAGCTCCCTATGGGGCCACGAAACGTGTGAGGGGTGTGCCGAAATGGGTGGTGGGGAGGCATGCGGACCTGCCACTGGGGCCTTCGGTGGAGCTCCCTATGGGGCCACGAAACGTGTGAGGGGTGTGCCGAAATGGGTGGTGGGGAGGCATGCGGACCCTGCCACTGGGGCCTTCGGTGGAGCTCCCTATGGGGCCACGAAACGTGTGAGGGGTGTGCCGAAATCGATGATGATGATGATGATGATGATGATGATGATGATGATGATGATGATGATGATGATGATGATGATGATGATGATGATGATGATGATGATGATGATGATGATGATGATGATGATGATGATGATGATGATGGGAGGAGGGAGGGGGGGGGAGGAGGAGGAGGTGAGGAACGCGGGGCGCCGTCTCTTCAAAACGAGGACCCAACACCACAGGATGGTCGGGAATCATGACGTCGGGGGTCTGGGAATGGGGGGATCGTAAATGGGGGGGTGGCGAGGGTGGTCCGAAAAGGTACCCAACGGTACCGAAACGAGCCCCCTGGGGCTCCAGAGGGGCACGAAAGGGGACCGTTTCTGACCCCCCTCGTTTATGACCCCCCCGTTAAGTCACGCCCACAGCGGGCCCAGGACTGGCTGACACAGTCAACCCGCGTCGTAATGATGAGCGACTTCTCCAGGCTACCACTGCATCCTTGCCTCTTCGGTCATCCTCGGTCCATCATCAACCGCCTTCAATGGCCAGCCCCGCTCGAAGAGCCTCGGCATGGGCGTCCAAGGCCCTTGCATCCCCATCGTGCTTCCTTAGTACACGGGTTGACTGTATGCTTTCCTGGTCAGGCGAGCTGGGTGTGCACGCAGATCCTGGGCCCAGGAAGGGCCTGGCCAGGTTCGGTGTGCATGCGTATAGATGGCGCCCCCTCTCGGGTAATGCCAGAGGTGCCCCTGGCCGACAGTGCCTTCAGAGCACCCCTCACGAGG